TTTTAATATTAGTTATTTAATATTAATATAATTAATTCGATACCTTTTTGCTATATATAGTTATTAAAAAAGCCGCCGCCAAAATTATTAATTTTATTAATGCGAATTGCTTTAATTCGGCGCCTTTTTTTCCCGAATTCGTATTATAATTAAGCGATATATTTAAAAAAATCGCTTTATAAAATCTTTTTAAATAAAGCATCGATAAAATATAATTTTATAATTTTACGGTATTTAATTAATGCAAAATAACGATTATTACTTAAATTAACGGGTTTAATCTCCTTAATATTAATTTATAATAAAATCGCTGCAAAATTTGCGCGAATACGTATTAAATCTGCTAAATCGATCCGAACGCTTTTAGCTTTATCGCATATATCGCATATTAATATAAAAATGCTATTTAAATTTAAATTAATGCCTTTAATAGCTTTAATCGTTTTAATTAGCCGTTCCTTATTTAGATAGCTTAGTCGACGATATTATAAAATCGTTTATTTAATTAACGGCTTCGTTAATCCGTTTAATACTATTAAAGCTTATATATAAAATGGTTTTTTTTGCCTATATAGCCATAAAAACCATTTTTTTTTAGTTATATTAATAATAGTTAATACTTTATTATTAGGCGTTTTAATAAAATTATTATAAATTTTAAATTTAGCTTTATATAGCTTATTATTAAAAATTATTTTTAATAGGAAATTTTTAACGTAATAATACTTTTTAAGCGTTAATTTCTGGCGTTTGCTTTTAAAACCGCGTTATACGGTTAATATTTAGCTATATTTTATTAAATATATTATACCGTTCTTAATTATAATAAATAACCGATTATATTTATTTAGTTTAATAACTAATTTAGCGATAAAATTAGTTTTATCGTTTATAATATAAATATTAGCGCTTATATTTAATAGCTATTATTTGCGTAAATTTAGCGTTTAAATAGCTATTAAAATAAAGAAATTATAATAATTCGTTTTATTTTATATATACGGATCGCATTATTTAGCAGGTTTATAGCGCTTATTATTAAGCGTAATTTATAATTATTTAATTACGCTAAAAGCAACCCGCGTATAATAATTATAAGCTATTTTTTATTTTTTTTAATTTTTATTTTAATTAAAAAATTCTATAATTTTAGCGTTTTTAAATTAATAAAAGGAATTATTATTTATTATAATTAATAATAATTATTAGGAGCCCCGGAGTACGCCTATAGACGCGCTTCCCCGGCCCCGGCTATAACCTATATTACGCCTATGGTAATTGCTTTTATTTGCGCTTAATCGTATAATTGCGTTTAATTATATAGGTAATTACGTTAATTACGTAAAATTAAAATTTTATTCGTTTATAGCTTTTTTATCGCATTTTTTTAGATTTATAGTTAATTCGCCGATAACCCTTTTTACTATAATACTAATATTCGCCGTTAATTTAACCGTTATTATTAGTAAATAATAAATTAGCGTTATTTTTATTATTAATTATTATTTTGCTTATAAATTTAATTATAAAGGATTATTAGAGTTATATAAGTCCTAATATAACGCTTTTTAAAAAAATGGCTAATTAATTTTTTTTTCGTTTTATTTACTTTAAAGCTTTATTTTTAATAGCTCCTAAATATAACTAAATTTAATTATTTAAAATAAAGCGTTAATTATTAGCGTTATAGCTTTTTTATATATAGTAATTTTATTCGGTATTAAATTTAGCTAGGTTTTTGCTATTATAATCGAATTTATATAATTTTTTTAATAATTTTTGCCTTTTTTCGATAATAATAAAGTTAAATTAACGGCGGAAAATATTTTTTATTTTTATATTTATTAAATAATATTTTATAATTATTAATAGCGTTTTATTATTAATTATAGCCAAAATTATAATAATAATAAGTTTTTTATTTAAAAGGTAAATAAGGGTTTTTGCGATTTATTTAGCGGCCTATTTATTAAGCTTAAATAATATTATATAAACGCGATAATTAAAAATTCCTGCTAAAAATTTTAATTTATCGATTTTAAATTTAAAATCTTTTAAGCAAGGAATTAATATAATTAAAGCTTGCTTTAATATGCTATAGCTAGCTATATTAGCGGTTATTTGCCTTATATTTTTAGCTATAGCTTCCGTAGCACCCGTTATAATTGCATGCTTTATAGCGCTTTAGCCAGCTTTATTAGCGATCGCCTAAATAGTTATTATAGCGCTTTAATTACCTTTAATTAAAGTGCCCTAGCTAATAATATAGGGTTTTAGGTAACCTTTAATATTAGGTGCTATATTATAATAAAAGAAGCTATTCGTAATATCTTTTATATTAATTATGGTGCTATTATATAGGAAATTAATAGGGATTTAGTATATTTAATATAAATAAACGGATTTAGCTATATAGGTTTAATTAAATAAAATGCACAAGACCTAATTGCCTCCTATAGCCCACCGGAAATAGCCGTCAAACCGGAGGTCCCGGGGTCTGATGCTTTTATCCGTCAAAACGAGAGTTATACCTATTACTTTAGTCAAAGTCAACTTTCCACACTTTCAAGGGTCCCGACTTTGCATCTTAATTCTTTTGACAGGACTAGACTATATTGGCGCCAGCGGTCTCCCTTTTTCTTTTTCACGAGGTGAACGGCCGGGCGCTAAAGATTTCTCCCTAGATGCACAATGCCGCGGTCTCGAACTGTCACGAGACACGAGGCAGCGTACGCGCGGGAGATAAGAAAACGGTGAGGAAATGGTCAGATGACCGAAATGACCTTGGACATACGTGCAAGTCAATATCATCAAAAAAGGATTGGCTTTCCGTCCTGGGCAAGGCTCGTGGAGTATGTTCTTTCCTTCGATCTGCACCCCTCCGGACCAGCGCTGGAACTTGAACTACACGAATCGTCACGATCTAAACAAGAGATGCCGTTTCCCGCGGAATGCTTTTTTCATCATATGCTTTGTCATGCGCTGACGTGTGTAGACTTTTTGCCGTATGGTACTACGGAATATGCACACCAACATGTGTGCAGATCTGCACATCCATGGAGTCATACATAATCTGATGGTGAAACGTGAGATCGTCGAGGTTGTCGAGGGGATATCCCGACCATTCTGATCTTTATCTGTCTCCTCGTAAGGCTACATAATACATACATACTGCATTGGGCACTGCCTAAAACCCAAGCGACGATCGCGGGAAGCATAAAGTAAATCAGGCAACGTGGAGGCCTGAAGCTTGAACAGCCTGACAGTTCAAAAAGCAAGACACAATGGGAATTGCACAGGCGGTAAGGTGAGTGGGTTAAAAGGTGAGAGGTTGAGTTTCTTCGATCCCCGGGCAATGGAACAGATCGCGGGTAAATGTGGAGTCCTACGTATGGATCGGATTCCTCTATACAGATCAACCGTTGCCAAGGACGGGATCGCTCGTCAAGCCGGCCTAAACCCAGAAACGGATTAAGCACAACCACATGGCGCGCCGGAAAGAGTGCAAAAAAAGATGTGAATAGCTTCAGATTGTCTGAAACTTTACTAAAAACACCATCAGGGCGCAGGAAATTTTCATGGGTTCGATCGATCCCCTCCCGGAGCATATTCTCCTGCTCTCACACTTTGGCAATGTTCACCACCTCTAATTCCTCCCCCGGGTGCACGCACGAGCACGCCTGCCTTGATCCCCCATGCCAAAAACCTCAGCTGCGGGTCTCGGTTGTTGCAAATCGTAATGCCCAAAGACGGCACTTTTCATCATGCGGCTGAAGTCCAAGTCATTTTGATTTTTCTTTTTCTTTTTCTTTTTCAGCACGGGAAAGTCGGCCGATCAGATTAGGAGAAACTCGGATGGCCGGGACAGTGCTCCAGACAATGGGCGGCACGGGCTTTGGTGAAAATAGCGCTATGGTAAGCATGACAACATGAAGCGTAAAAGTTCCCTATTCACACTACTATACGTATGCACTTGTCTAGCATTGCGCGGCTTTGCATACTACACGTATACATTTGGTATTTTTTGAAAAAAATTAAAATTTGTCCTTGTCTTTTTTCGTCATAATTTCTTCTCAACGATCAGCATATCTGGTACTATTCCCGACACCGTGGTACACTAGTCCAGCGGGCGGTTCAAGAAAGATCGCTCTGCAAATCATTGTTTTTAGTGTCTGGGCAAACAAGAAAGTCTGACTCGAGACACGTTCAGGTATGTTGTGAGTTTTACCGTTAGATACGGTTCACATCGTGTGATTTTCTTTTGTTGTCACATGGTGTATCGATGCAATCTTTTCGTCTCCCCCGAGTATATACCATGTCCGTTGCATAGACGCTGGATACATCATGACTCGAGAGTTTTGCTGAATCAGCCGTTGCTACTGGGATATCACGGGTGGTGTGACCACCTCTAATAAGTTGGTCTTCGATGCAGTTAATGGTGGAATTGTGTTGCGAATCGGCACTCGGCCACTGCTACTACGACCCGAGAATGAGATTGTGCTCGCCAAGCCTGATATTTTTGTTTACTCATCAATCACAGAAGAATCGAGTCATTGCTTATCCAGGCCAGGGCCCATCACGAACTGGGGGTTCGCATATGCGGCTTGAATTTGTTCACTGAGTGGGTCGTGTCATTCGTCCCTGTCTCGGCCGAGAACAGTTTCGGCCGGCACGCCTCATTGGAAGCAAAGCAAGAACGGGGGGAAAAAAGAGAGAAAAAAAGAGAGAAAAGAAGAGGAATAAGACGGGAAAGCAGCATCATATTCTTATCAAGCTGTAGACAAGCGACATTGGTTAAGACTGCATGCGAGGTAAATTTTCATTTGATTCGTGTTAATGGTATTTCCCACGCAACAAATTAAGGATATTATGTTGCGGCTACTGCAGTTAAGATCAGTGAAAGAAGTAAAAAGAATAATTATAGATATCGGGGTATCAAATGAGTTTTCTCAGCCTCCCGCTATTTATCAAACATGGTTTGCAGACTTATAACGATCCCTTCAACGCGGAAATGTGGTTGCCGCCATGTTCTTGTCGTTATTCGGCACAGGCTTTTTACGAGTTGGTGAAGTGGGAGGCGACTTTAATGCACCTGTCAAACCTTTGGGAGAAAGACAATCTTTGAGATCAAATTCCAGCTGCATTGGCGAAATTCTTTTCGCGCCATCTGTTGCGTTGTGCTGAGCCCTCGTGGAGGGGCCGGAGCCGGGGCCGGCGAGGGGAAGCTTCGGCGTGTAGACGGCTGCCGATTCAGCCAAGGTCGGCAAGAGTCCGGATCGCTTAGTTGGGGTAAGCGGCAGCTCCGTTAGCGATGCATCGTTGGACAACTTGCGGCGCTTGGGGCTTGGGGTGCCGACTAGGCCTCCGAGGGGTCTTTTCTCGGGTGTCACTGTGATTTTGATTTCTCGATACATGATAGCCACAAATCTATTCGGCGTCTATCTTGTGCTTGTGCTTACGGTACGAGTTGTTGCAATGCAAATTGTGATCCATCATGCCAAGAACGTGTACAGACGCAAATTAAACACGGTTTATATAGATCGTGAAAATACGTGTCAGTGATCAAGTGCCGCTTTTGTGGGCAGTTACAACAAACTCCCATCACCTATTCACTTCGTCTTTTCAGCAAGGTGATATTTTATCGATAGCAAGACTCAACTAGGTTAGGTACTTGGTGTTTGACGGAAAGAGTTGATACATCACAACTCTGCAAGCATAGCATAACTAATGCCATGAGTATGTCCTCAAGCATAGCGCCCGTTGTTCCAATTGACCGTGACTGAAGCAAACGTTGGTCAACCGGAATGTAAACGGAGCTTGGTGGCGAATACACAGCCACGAGATCTTCGCTCTCGCATCAATGCCTGAACTACATCAATCGATAGCCGCTATCTCTACCTATATTCCGAGGACGATTTTGAAATCTGGAAATACGATAACCGAAATTGCAAGGACCCCGAACAACGAGACCCACACCGCTGCCCAATCTGTCTCTTACTGGGCTTCTGCACTATGCTTATTCGTCCACTGGCCCGGAGGCTATCTCATTAGCGCCCAAAGTACCCCTATTCTTAGCACCCTGAATCGCGACTAAAAAGCCTTTCCAGACAACGGTCTTTTCTCGAATTCTTCTAGAAGGTGAAAAATCTTACGATAAGGTAGAAATGCCCCGTTTTCTTGAGGACCCTGAAGCGGATCGCGTTCGTGATCAAACGGGCCCCAATCATCTGGGCTTTTGTTTGGGGATGCAGTCCAATCGTCCCCGTCGCGATCCGCCATGACAGCCCGTCCCGTTCATAGCAAGTCGGTCTAGTCTTCAAAAGGGTTTCGACTGACAACTGTTAAATGACAGAACCGCTGGCTTCACCGGCGTGGAGAAGTCTGGTCTTGCTCCATCCGCGACCAGCCGGTGAAGACACGGTCGGCGGTGACCAGACTCGGCGCTTCCGTCAAACGTAGCCAATATTCCAAGGTTGGGTATCGAAACCGGCTGTCCCGACAACAAGTTGCTGACTTGTCTGGGTAGGATAACTGGATCAATGGACCGTGGATGGCAGCATTGGCGCCTGGCTGGGGCCTATTATACACTGATACTGCTGATGGACAGATTCTATTGGACGACCTTGTCTATTCAGTTCTGTCACCCTTGCTTACAGTAGCAGCCCAATAGTGTTGATATATGCACTCCTCTAGATGCGAGAATTGGTATCTGACTCATCAATGCCATGTGCTGGTGTTTTCTAGATCACGGCGATGATAGCTTTTGTATTGCCGTTTGAAAGCCAGTGGCAATGCTCATATACCATCGCAGCAACATACTATGGCAATGGGCATGGGAAAAAGTCATGCTGTGAAAAAGGAATACTATTGGCTGTGGAAAAAAAAAAAAGTCGCACTGCGAGTATGCCACAAGATATGCGCAGGTAACTCTAAATCAGTCCGCTAGTATCTCACCTGATTTGCTTAAAACATTCCGAATTTATCATCTGGGATTAAGAAGCAGAAGCTCTATAGTTGACCTGTATGGATCACATTCAGGGAAACATATTCCGAGCTCGGGTTATAGGTTCGACCAATAGCGCTGAAGTAACTTCAGTGTGTGTAGTTCCCCAACCTTGGCTTGCTTACATCGGAAACCCTCATGGGGAGCTAAAACCCGAGCTCGGCTTTGAGACAACCAGCCAATGAGACTGGGTGAATTGATGTCTACATGACACTATAAAGTTCTCCAATCTTGTCCCGCTGGCCAAGATTAAAAAGAGGATAGGGAAGGTAGAAGAAGTAGACGAAGAAGAGGAACTACCATACTCTCTGACAAATAAACTTCAATATCTCCATTTGAATATGCTCGTGCGATCTAGTTTTCAGATTCAACGCATTGCAGCTCGGTCTTTTGCCACTGCTGCGAATACGGCTACTCGCATCCAACTTTCTCAACCTAGACAGCCGACTGTTGTGAAACCAACTAGAGATCAACTTTCACTCCTTGATGAGAGAAACCTCGAACGTGCAGTCCGAGCGATCCATGAAGATGGCCTCGTCGTTGTGGAAAATGTCATCTCTCACGACGTCATTGACCGCCTGAATGAGAAGATGATTCAAGACGCTCTGGTGCTTCAGGCTCGTGGCAAAGATGGGCCATTTAATTACAATCAAGGAAACCTTCAGCAAGACCCTCCGCCTGTCGCGGAGCATTTTCATCCATCTATATTTCTTAGTGAGCCTAAGCCTCCATCCCATCAAGCACAGCAAGGAGATTTACTAAGAATGCCGCACTAGATCCCATTGCGACACAAATCACATCAGCCATTCTCGGCCCCAAGCCAAAATGGACCTTTTGCTCGGCCAACGCAGCCATGCCTCCGCTGCCCGGCGCAGAACCGCAGCGGCAGCCCGTGCACTCGGATGCTGATTTCGCTCATCCGTCACACCCATTTGCCCTCGTGGTCAACGTTCCCCTCGTCACCATGAGGCCAGAGAACGGCTCTACCGAGGTATGGCTCGGCACTCACACTGGTAACATTACTCAACAGGAGGGGTCACATGGAGATCGAGCGAGTGGTCGCATCAAGGAGGAGCTCCTCAAGAAACAGACAGAGAGAGATCCTCCTACACAGCCCATCATTCCCAAGGGCTCTATCATAGTTCGGGACCTTCGTCTTTGGCACGCCGGGATGCCGAACAAGACTGACCAGGTCAGGATTATGCTCGCAATGATTCATTTTGCATCTTGGTATCGGAACCCGATGAGACTCGAGTTTTCTGACGATATCAAGCCAATCATTGAGAATTTGGATTGTCAGGGAAAGCTCGAGGTCCAGGTCCCGATAGAATGGGCGACGCGCAAGCGAGCATTGCAAAGTTATCTTGACAGGGGCTTTGGTAATAGCTATGACTTCAATCAAGCCTTATAGAAAGTCCATCGAAAACTAACCTGGCCCGAACTAGGGCAGGATCACCGCCAACCACGCTCAAATGGCGACATGAAGTTTGATATTTGCTTGAGAGATAACAGTGCGCGGCCAATGAGAATGTCACCAACACTGATAGTGTCTCCAGATATATTTCATGACCAACATCGGCAGGTTCTTGGTAATATCTGCATGCTTGACCACTCCTTAGCCATTCCAATGAATTTTTTTTTTATTATCACAAGTTTCTATTTTATCTATTCAAAATACGTGTTAATGGTTGCGCCGCTTGTGAGTTAATACGATACTGCAACTACGGATGCCCAGAGGGCAACTGTTGAAAAACTAAGATTTGGATAAAATCACTATAATTATAGCAGCAAAAGTCCACCACCCTTTTTGGGATTTCTTCTTAAAAAGAAAACCGGAAAAAAAAAAGAAAGAAAAAGAAATGAGAAAAAAGAAATAAAGAGAAATGAAAAAGCAATGAAAAAAAATGGGGGAAGAAAAAGAAAGAAAAGAATAATAAAATTAATTAATAACGTCAGTAAGGCTGAAATCGGGGGGTTTCAATAGTTTGTCCTCTGGTGCTCCGTATGCAATTCTGAATTCCTTGCCACATCGTGTCACGCTATAGGTCTGAACTCTGATAAACAAGATTATACCTTATACAATACCTGATGCCCAAACAAGAATAAAATAAGATTTCTGGGAGTTTATTTCATTGTTTGGTTACCTAGATATGTTCACATATTTACCCAGATCCTGCAGGCCAGAAAGGCGGTGTTTCGGGGAAAATAATTGACTTTGGGGCTACTGGGCGCCTATGAAAACACGCCGATGGGGCCAAGCCAGACCCGGCCTCACACTCCACCGCGCCCTCTGATGCTGGTCGTTCTCATGTCCATTGCAGACAATGATCCCAACTTCTCGCGAGGCTTATACTGTTGTAGACTCACTTGTTTCATTTACTGGCTAGATAAGCCAGTAGCACTGGTATTGACCTGTGTCGTCTTTCCGTAGTATCCGCGCGCGAATTGGTTTTCCAGATGGGGGCGCGATGCCAAGGGCATTGAACCGAGCAGGTACGGCGACTCACTTCTCTCCATGTACAAGCCGAGACTAACACACTATAGCTTGGTAGGCGAGCCTCCTGCATACCTTGCACTTAACATCAGATGTCCAGAAGACTACCTGGCCATGTATGGGACTCGTAGCTAATACTTGATGCCGCAGCAACACGTGTCGTAAACGAAAAGTTAAATGTCAGTTGTCTATATTATGCTTGTTGTCGCCGGACCTCACACTGATCGATGTTCATGTGTAGGTGATGAAGCATCACCCGTCTGTGGGCCATGTTCCAAAGTTGGCCGCTACTGCGATCGCACGACGACGGAGCGTCGTTTCGTGGCCTTTGCGGCGACTGGCGAGGCTGCTTGGTCAAATGAAAAGGCATCGTCCTCATCACTCATCACCATCAACCGAGAGTGCCTTGAGAAGCCAGAGATAGCCGGCTACTTTCACCACTACATTACCCATGTCGCGCCTTGGTATGACCTCGGCGATGAGTCTCGACACTTTGCGCTCACCGTGCCTCGGCTCGCGCTGGACCAGCCACTTCTACTTGGGGCCATCATTGCCCTGTCCGCAATCCACGTGGCGCAGAGCACGGGCAGCGCGACCGCGAAGAGGGCGGCCGAGGTCTACCATGGTCATTGTATTCGATCCTTGATTGAACTTGATCAGTCGAGCGTCGTGCTCGAGAATGGTGTCGCTTTGGCGGCTACGTGTTTGCTAAGGTCCTTTGAAATTCTGAACGGTGAGATCGATACTCTCTCCTGAATTCAATGTACCCTCTGAAGAGAATGAGTAGTCATCTGACTGATGAGGTAGAAGTTCACGATCCCCAACGGCATCTTCGAGGTGCCTACTCTCTAGCGTCACAACCAGCAGTCGTTCGTGATGGGACTTTTACTGTACTGCACCAGGCCGGATTCTGGAACTATCTTAGAGAGGACATAACGTTTAGCTTGTTCGAGGGCTGCCCCTTGAAGGTGGACTTGGACTTGGCGTCCAGCAGTCTGGCCGTCACGGCGGCTCGATGCCCGCTGGACTCGATATCGTTGTTGCTGGGTCAGATTCTCAATGCCGTACATACGAGTACAATGTCATGCGACATTTGGTCCGAGTTCCAGGAGAGATTGACGTCTTGGTATAGTTCCTTGCCATTGTATATGCATCCATTCTCGACTGGAACACAGGCTGCGCGATCGATAGAAGGTCCATTACCTCGATCGTGGTTTTTGCAAGATACCTATGGTTCGTACATGTTTCACCGCCGCTCTTCCGATTTTATTGTCCCTTGCTGAGCTTACATGGAAACATAGCATCAGCGATGCATTACTTCTTGACTGCCACATGTGTTCTCACCACTTGTGCTTCGGAGAATCAGCTTCCTCACATGGCGCAGCTTTCTGGGATTGGCAAGGACAAAACACCTTCCAAGGAGGATATACTTGAATACAGTTCACTTAATATTTGCGGGATTGCTTTCACGACCAATACACCATCCGTCCTGGTCAATGCATTTGGTCCCATGTTCTATTGTGAGTCATTTTTGAGTTTGAAGGAATGTGCCGAGGCTTACTCGATCCCCCAAGGCGGCAATTTCATCAGACAGGAAGCAGCACGGCAGGAAATAATACGGCATCTACATGCGTGCAAGAAAATTGTCGGCTGGCCTGTGGAGCGTGTTGTAAATTTGCTATGTAATGAAGTTGCAGAACAGAAATAAGAGACTAATCGCCAGAACATGTAAGAGAAACTTGGATTTCACCGTGTAAAATGATTGCTACCTCTACGCGACTCTGTAGCAATGAGAACTTGTCAATCTAAAGCTTGATATCATATTACTCTACACCTGGGGCCAGAACCCTTGTTCCAACTGCAAGACCTCCTTCCACACTCTCAAAGCCGTCTCATCGACATCCGCACCACTGTGCGTCTCGGCGTACTGGTCCAGACACGCCTCAATCTCGTCCACAAATGCGCCAAATTCAGCAGACGTCCAGTTGGGTATAAACTCCTTCCTCAACGCTCCGCCATCGAGATCGTCCTCGGCCTTGGTCTGACTTGCCTGGCCCTGGTCCCGGGCATATGTCCACGCCTCGTGGTACACCTTTTCCGTAGCCCAGAGGAGCACCAGCCCCTCAAAGACTGACTTGTTGGCATTGCCGCCCGCGCCAAAGGAATCAAACAGGTCCACATATGCAGCCGTTGTCGGATTCGGTCCAAACTCTTTACCGCTGCCGCCGCCGCCGCCGCTGGACCCCACTACCTTTTCGGCCGGGACCACTGCAGCCAGGTCAAGCCCGTACTTGGCCGCGGTATCCTCAAAAAACGCCAACTCCACCAAGATGCCGTCTAGGGAGCTCTTGAGGACCTGCACGACGCGCCACTCGAGCGTCTCCCGGATGGGCCGGTCGGACCGGACGGGCAGGCGCACGCGCGACAGCAGGCCGCCAATGAAGCGCGCATAGGCCTGCGCGTACAGCCGGTCCTGCGCCAGCCACTGGGACAGGGTCGTGGGCGGGAGACGGCCCTGGCCCGCGAGCTGGAGAAAGGGCGATTGGGTGGCGCGCTTGTAGGCGTCGGGGGTCTGTGGGTGCGAGAGGAGGCGGGCGGTTAGAGAGGGCATTGTGCTTGTGATCTAGATATTTTGTATTGTGTGAATTTATGAAGGCGTTAATTTAAATCAACCTTCTGGATTGGATGGATCACCACTTTGTCAATGTGAATGTGTACTGTTGATTTTGCATATATATATATATATATATTTTACACTGATGATTCTTGTGCAAGTTGCGATCTGCTACAAAAAAGATGGGGCAAAGGTGGGCATTTTGGCCGTCGTTCAGATGAGGTGCTTACGTTGGGAGACACCATGACGATATGTGCTGACCCAAAAGTAAAATGCAGACAAGCAGCACTTTGACTTGTTCGCGTCAACCTAATTGTCTTTTTTTTTTTTTTTCTTTACGGCTGACAATAAACATTTGGTGTTTGATAACCGCACTCGCACATGTTGGAGAGATGATCCAGAATGGGCGTCAACCGGTCGTCCTCGTCCAGCTTTGGTGTTTTCCAAAGGGGAGAAAAAGACTGAAAGCCAAGCTGCAACACTCCGCCGAAGAAACACATCATTCCGGGGAACCTCGGCATCAGTACTAAACTAGTCTCAACCGCGCACTCGGGTTTTCTTCTTGTCCTTTTTTACATTATTATATCATTGTGCCGCTCGCTCTCGGCACGTTCCCTCGGCGGTAACCCCGGACTGTTGAAGAGGTTGGGGTTTGTGGATAGTTTTTCGCAACGCTAAGAGAGTCTTTCTTTCTTTCTTTCTTTTTCTTTTTCACACCTCCAGAATAACCGTCACCAATGGAAATACGTGGCACTCATCTGGGCTCGGCTCGGGAAAGGTCCGTTGTTATTTAGCGCATCCGCTGCCTTGGATCCAACACCGTTTTCCCTCTCCATCCTCACCGTCCTCGTAGAGAATTCCAGCCTCGATGACGTAGGCGGTACTCCAGTAGCGGGGAGCAGTGAACTAAGGCAGGTCGCACATTAGAGCCCAGGTTCTAGACCTCGGGCTATTTCTCTGGCGCTGCCAATTGTAGCCTACTATACAGGACCAAAGCGTAATGCCCCCCTGCCTTGACAACGTGACCAATGTTTGATTTTCAGGTTTCCCATGTCAGATCAAAGTCGTATTACACATGCTACTTCGTCACGTCAGGGTCCCCCTTTTGATACCCTTCCTGCAGCCAAGCTAAGCAGGAACTTGTAATTAACGCGCTCGTGGGCAACTAAAGTAGGCTTGCCGCCAAAGGATTGAACGTCCGAATACCGTCCCGAACAACAAGATGCCGTTGATTTCCAGTTCCGTTTTCGCGACGGATAACATCAGCGTGTATCCGTAATCATGCTTCATCCCATCCATCAACCGTAACGCCAACGTATGTCCTCGTGATGTGACAAGGCTGTCGTCCGGACTACCTATCACTATAGAGGAACCATTTCTAGAAACAAGTAACAAAAACCAATGGCAAGACGTCTATCTATATGAATATTGAAAGAAGGGTTATCCCTCCATCTTCACATCTTCGCTCTTTACGCTGCTGTCCTTTCCTAGGTTCTTAAGTAGATAGCTGCGCTTGAAATACTCGTTGGGATGTACAATCGTGTCTAGCTGGGCCGCGGTCATGATATTCTCATCCTTGGCACGCTTGATCTCGCTCTTATGAACGTGTTCAAACACACTAGAGAAGAGTTTGTTAGTTGTCGAGTCAAGTAGGAATCCATCAATACTGATGACCTGTTGGGAACACTTACCGATTACAGGCCAAGTGGAATTTCTGTGCTTCCTTGTCCTGCTTGACACCTTCTAGGACCGACCTGTCCGAAATACCGACAGCTTGTAGCAGGGCAGTCAGGTTCTCCTGGTTGAAGTGTCGGTACGGACAACCATGCGCCTCACCCGGACCTGGTGGGTGCTCCGTCAATATCTTTTGACACGAGAATGGCGAGTAACCGCCACCACGTCGGTTGGAGTCGCCTCCAACGTCTCCGTACGCGTGCCGGACATTGTATCTGTAGTCCTTGTTGAACTGGTCATCGGTGAGCTTGCTGAATGACGTCCGCCAGAAGATCAAGCACTCCTCCAGGTTCAGGCCGATGCCCTTCAAGAACAAAGTGTACTGTAAACGACCATAGTGCTTGAGATGTGCGTCGCGCCGTAATGATCGATGTAGGTTCTGCATGCATAGCGGGAAGCTGGCAGAGAGCTTGTCCACGTTTCTTGCCGAGATGTCGGCTCCACCAACGGCGGTCGTGCTGCTGCTGTAAGAAGCATCTGGCGTGATAAAGTTCTTGGAGAGATGATCCAGAATGGGCGTCAACCGGTCGTCCTCGTCCAGCTTTGGCAGCGCCCGCGCCGTCAGCTCCAGGGCGCGCTCTAGTCGCCCTGTAAACTCTGCGACCACCATGCTCGTCTGCTCCCTAGCAGGCACATACGCCTTGCCACCCTTGAGGAACACCCTCCTCGTCTCTACCAATTCCGGGACACGTTCCCAATCAACCTTGAAGAAGCTATTGTCATCCTCGGTCTGCTCTTGCTTCTTGCGGCTGTCCGCCATGGCTCGGAGTTCGTCACTATACTTGCTGCGCTCCTCGGGGCCAACCTCTTCCCAGTCCAAGTTCAGGGTCTTGATAAACTCTTTGAGCTCTTTGCGGTTATGCTCAGCATCGTCATTCAGTCTCAGGCGGAATAGCATAGTCTCGACGCGGGTGAACCTCCTCCTGAGGTCCTCGGTTGATGCAAAGGCTAGTCGCAGAATAAAATGGCTGTAGTGATCTTTCTGGCGCTGTGCTTGAAGCTGGGAGCTGTTGCTCGAGTTTGTGTCAAGAGGCAGGTACTTTTTGAGCAGAGGCTCCATGTGTTCAGAAGTATCCTTGACATTCTTATTGCGAAAAGAGCAGGCTTCGAGCTCGGCCAGAATGCGCAGGCGATCGATGGCCCATTGTTCGAATTGCTCAAGCGTGATGTCGGCTGTTGGTGGCAGCGCGTAGAAGTTGAGTCGGTTCGGATATGCTGTCTTGGCGAAAGACGGGTCTGCAAACTGTTTCGTGCGATGATCGAGAGTCGCTCGCCGCTTTGGGTCGATGCGGTTGTAGTTTGAAGAGAACATGGCGGCAGGCGAGGAGGATCGGGTTGATTGACGTGTCCTTCAACTCTATTTCCGCTTCTCCTTGATAATGGCAAGCAATCGTGCTCAATACGTCCAAGTGAGTGCCTCGTCGTCGCCACAAACTTGAATCGCTTGAGCCGAATCTTTGGTGATGGCGGCCTTGTTTAATTGAATTTCCAGGTTGATCGCGACTCAGTATGGAGGGGACGCGACGCGACGCGGCGCTGGGAGCAAAATTGACCAATCAGGTAATGTGCAATGCATCGGCGGGGCACTTCATAGTGTGGGAAATTGATGGGGACTTAGTGTATTTAGTATAAATAAACGGATCTGGCTATATGGGTTTAGTTAAATAAAATGCATAAGACCTAATTGCCTCCTATAGCCCACCGGAAATAGCCGTCAAGCCGGAGGTCCCGGGGTCTAATGCTTTTATCCGTTAAAACGAGAGTTATACTTATTATTTTAGTTAAAGTTAACTTTTTATACGCTTTTTATAACGAGCGATTTAATCGAAATAAAAGGATAAGCTTTATTACGATAATTTATAATATAATTTATAGTTAAATAATAGTAATTATATTTATAATTAGGTTATAATTTATTATATTTAGCAAATATACGAAATATTTAAAATCCTTAGGTCGTATCGCTTTTATAAGCCTATTAGCGGCGTTTTCCGTAAATATAATTTTTTTAATTAAAATATTCCTAATAAAGATTTTTTATTAAATATAATAAAAATACCTTTTAATATGCTTTTTCGTAAATATGCTAATTTAGGCTTTTGCTTACGTTTTTACGTTTATATTATTAATTAATAAAAAAATTACTTTTTAAGGTATTATTTTTAGTTTTTTTAATAAGTTTTTAATAAATACGGTTTTATAAGCGCTTTTATTAATAGCGTAATATTTAGCTTTTATAATAAATTAAATAATTACGCTTTATAATTTTAAATTTTAGCTTATTAGGGAGCCCGCTATAAACGTTATTTATTTAAACGTAAATTTAAAAGTTAATTTATCGCCTGCAAAATTAGCGTTAACGTAAATATATAATTTTAGTTCTTTATATTTAATATAGCGATAAAATCGAGTATATTTTATTTTTTTTATGCGGGTGCCTTAAAGGTATTATAGCATTTTATTTAAGTGTTTAATATAATTAGGAGATAGGTTATTTATAAAGCGCGTTTATACTTTATTAGCGTGTGTTATATTTGCGCGTAGCTTAATTATAGCGTAATTTGTTTTCCCGAGCTTTTTAAAATATTGATTTTTGGATTTTTAATTAATATAGCTTTTAAATTTATAGGTTATTATTATTAATCCCGGATTAATAAGAGTAATAGCATTTTTAATATTTTAATATCCGAGTTTTTTAAATATTTAATTTAAATATTTGTTTTATAATAATATAATATTATTATTTTTTTTTGGATAATGCGTATTTTTAAATATTATTTAGCGGTATTTAGGTATTATAATTTTAACTATTTATTTAGCTATTAAATTAATTTTTTAATAGCTTTAATATTTATATATATAATTATAAAATCGTTTATATAAAAGGTTAGTATCGTTTTATTAGCTTTATTTTAGTAAATGGTATTATTAGTTTTTAGTTTTATAAAGCCTAGCTTTTTTAGTTTTTTTTTAATTTTTTATTATTATTCGAAGCTATTTTGCTTTAAGCCGTATAAAAGGCGTAATAGCCTAATTATACTGCTAGGAATATAATTATATTATTATATAATATTAAGGTATTAAAATATAAATTTACTTAGGTATAAAAATTAGCGTATATAGATTTTTTTATTAAGCCGGCCTAATAAATAGGTTATAATAAAATCGATTTAAAAGATTTTCCAGCTTTTAATTATAGCTATCGCGATTAAAACGCGGATGCTTATTTATTTAGCTATATTAGCAAAAAATTTTTTATAATTAATTTTAAGGGTTTAAATAAAACTTTAAGCTATAAGGCGTGCTTTTTATTTATTTATATTACCGGTAAAATTATATTTAGTTTTATATATTTATTTAAATTTAATTAATGGCTTTTGCTTTAATTTAAAATTATTATAATCGAGGAATTTAAACGTTTTTTTTTTAAATAGCTTAATAATTTTTTTATTATAATTTATTGCTAATTAGGTTATTTTTATATATTTTTGCCTAATTAATTAATAATAAATTAGGGTTATATTTAATAATTAATATTAAATATTTATTTTGCATTTATTCGAATAAATTATTATTAATTAATAATAAATAATTATATAAGCCTTTATTTAGCGTAATTAATAGCGCGCCTTTAAAGCTTAAATTTTTTTTATTATCCTAATTATAATCCCGTAAATTAATTAAAGCGTAATAATTATTTTTTATAATTATATTTATATATATATAAATATACCTATTTAAGCTTTAATATACTATAATATAATTATAATTATTATTTATATATATTATAATATATTTAATTATGCTTTACCGTATAACTATTTATATTTAAAAAAAGCCGGCTTTAAATTGCCGCGCTTTTTATTTTTATTTTTTAGCTATATTTAGATTACGAGGCTTTATATAATAAATTAATTTTAAAATCCTATATTGCAGCTTATTTTAAACGTATTACGGGAGTAATCTAATTATTTTTAATAAATCGGGCTAATTAGCGCTTTTATTAAAGTTTTTATAAAATATAACGTAAAAAGTTATAATAAAGCGTGCTATATTTAATATATATATTTTATATAAATATTTTTTAGCGTAATTTATAAATATATTTTTTAGCGCTTTTACCTATAATTTTTTAGCTTATATTTTGTTTTTTTTTAAAATATATATAAAAATACGCGATTTAAAAATTTTAAAATGCCTAATTAATAGGCGATTAAATATATTTTATAGCTAAAAATTATTTTTTTAACGCTATTAAGGAGTAATTAGTTTTTTTTTAATAGGTGTTATACGGTTTAAAACGATAACTTATGCTTTACAAATTTTATCCTAAAATATTATAAAAATATTTATTTAAATATAAATAACGCGCGTATTATTTTATAATATCCCGATCGCGCGTTTAGCGGCACCGTTTTAATATTAATTATTTAATATTAATATAGTTAATTCGATACCTTTTTACTATACGTAATTATTAAAAAAGCCGCCGCTAAAGTTATTAATTTTATTAATACGAATTATTTTAATTCGGCGCCTTTTTTTTCCCAAGCTCGTATTATAACTAAGCGATATATTTAAGGAAATCGTTTTATAGAATTTTTTTAAATAAAATATTAATAAAATATAATTTTATAATTTTATGGTATTTAATTAGTATAAAATAACGATTATTATTTAAATTAATAAATTTAATTTCCTTAATATTAACTTATAATAAAATCGCTATAAAATTTACGCGAATACGTATTAAATTTACTAAATTAATCCGAACGCTTTTAGCTTTATCGCATATATCGCATATTAGTATAAAAATGCTATTTAAATTTAAATTAATGCCTTTAATAGCCTTAATCGTTCTAATTAGCCGTTTCTTATTTAAATAATTTAGTCGATAATATTATAAAATCGTTTATTTAATTAATAGCTTCGTTAATCCGTTTAGTGCCATTAAAATTTATATATAAAATAGTTCCTTTTGCCTATATAGCCATAAAAACCATTTTTTTTTTAGTTATATTAATAATAATTAACACTTTATTATTAAGCGTTTTAATAAAATTATTATAAATTTTAAATTTAGTTTTATATAGCTTATTATTAAAAATTATTTTTAATAGGAAATTTTTAACGTAATAATATTTTTTAGGCGTTAATTTCCGGCGCTCGCTTTTAAAACCGCGCTATACGGTTAATATTTGGCCGTATTTTATTAAATATATTATACCGTTTTTAGTTATAATAGGTAACCGATTATATTTATTTAATTTAATAACTAATTTAACGATAAAATTAGCTTTATCGTTTATAATATAAATATTAGCGCTTATATTTAATAGCTATCGTTTACGTAAATTTAGCGTTTAAATAGCTATTAAAATAAAGAAATTATAATAGTTCGTTTTATTTTATATATACGAATCGTATTATTTAGCAGGTTTATAGCGCTTACTATTAAGCGTAGCTTATAATTATTTAATTACGCCGGAAGCGACCCGCGTATAATAATTATAAGCTGTTTTTTATTTTTTTTAATTTTTATTTTAATTAAAGAGTTTTATAATTTTAGCGCTTTTAAATTAATAAAAAGAATTATTATTTATTACAATTAATAGTAATTATTAGGAGCCCCGGAGTACGCCTATAGACGCGCTTCCCCGGCCCTGGCTATAACTTATATTACGTTTACGGTAATTGCTTTTATTTGCGTTTAATCGTATAATTATATTTAATTGCGTAGGTGATTGCGTTAATTACGTAAAATTAGAATTTTATTCGTTTGCAGCTTTTTTATTACGTTTTTTAGATTTATAATTAATTCGCTAATAACCCTTTTTACCGTAATATTAATATTTGCCGTTAATTTAACCGTTACTATTAGTAAATAATAAATTAGCGTTATTTTTATTATTAATTATTATTTTATTTATAAATTTAATTATAAAAAATTATTAAAATTATATAAATTTTAATATAACGCTTTTTAGGAGGATGGCTAATTAATTTTTTTTTTATTTTATTTATTTTAAAGCTTTATTTTTAATAGCTTTTAAATATAATTAGATTTAATTATTTAAAATAAAGCGTTAATTATTAGCGTTATAGCTTTTTTATATATAATAATTTTATTCGGTATTAAATTTAGCTAGGTTTTTGCTATTATAATTAAATTTATATAATTTTTTTAATAATTTTTGCCTTTTTTCGATAATAATAGAGTTAAATTAACGGCGGAAAATATTTTTTATTTTTATATTTATTAAATAATATTTTATAGTTATTAATAGCGTTTTATTATTAATTATAGCTAAA